GTCTTAAAAAAATCAGTTTTTATGATATTTAAGGTCATGAAATTTGTCTTAAATATCTTAAGTGGTAAAACAAATGAATTGTGATACAGCCTAATGTGATTATTAAACCTCAAAGCGCTATGATTTCATTCAATTAAATCATGTTTCAAATGGTGCACTGAAGTCATGTCAAAAATATTGTATTTATGAGTTAACTGTACCTTTACACCACAATGTTGTAATTACGAGTGGGAAAAGCCTTGCTCCACTCACCAGTTGGAGCAGGAACTGCAGAAGTCCATGGCGTTGTCCTGTGGACAGTCCTGACAATGCCACCGTACACCCTGGATGGGCTGCATGCCACATATGTCACACTGAGTGAGAATTACATCAAAACATGAACAATGAAAAAATGCTGATTATGAAACAGAGCCACATTATATTATACAGTTGTCTAAGAGCCTAAAGTACTCATTCTTCATCACTCAGATTTACATGGAAGAGATGGCTTTTATCACTTGCCGCTTTGTTGTGACGTGTCTGGTTAAGCCACAATATTAAAGGGGACATAACACACACTGTTCCTGCCAATCTCGAGTACCTACAGAGTAGTATTGCATCCTTCAAATCTCTGAAGAATAGTTAGTTTTAGCAGATTTGTAAAAGACAGATACAGCTTTACGCTTCTCTCCTGGAGGCGTACCGTGGACCGGAGCTAAAGAGTCACGAGCACGCTAAGCTATTAGGTGTGTTCGACTTGAAGCGGCGCTACATAGATCGATCAGTGTATGGCATCAAAGTACCGTGAGAGCTATAAAGAGCTGATGGCTCTGCATGCTTTCGAATCGCTCTTGCGGTTCATTGATGTCAAACACCGATCGATCTGTGCCACTTCAAGTCGAACACACCTTTTGTGTAGTGATCGCGTGCAAGCTGTGACGTCGACATAAATAAAACAGGAACAAAAACTTTGACTTAAATTTTATTTAATTTGTTTATAAAACATTCATCACCGAAATGCCGAGAACAAACAAACACACTTGCACAACTCCATTGCTGCCCTGGAGAAACAAACTTTTTTTTTACCTTGGCCATGTTTAGCATGAGAATCCAACTCTTTAACAGTGTAAACAAGTCAGAATGCATGAAATAGCATTAGAACTCCCCTTTAAGTTAAAGCAGCACTATGTAACTTTTTTTGTGTTCAAAATTTGCAAAATGTATAAGTGAGTATGAGTGAGTACATAATGAGTGAGTACATCATGAATTCATCTTCCAAACCACGTTTTAGTCTTATTCCGAATCACTACGGTACACACTTATAATAAGTACTTATATTTGGACTATTTTAGCCTGGTCGGGTCGTCACCGCTGCAGAGTAACGCATACCTGCGTGAATCGCCATAGACATAAACTTAGAGAAGTAGCTCCAGTTGGAATGTTCTTCCGCGGGATGTGTGCAGTTCTGTTTATTAACTGCTAGAGCGCCAAAAGTTACATAGTGCTGCTTTAAAGGGATAGTATATTCAAAAAATAAATTTTTGTCATCATTTACTCACTCTAATGTTGTTTCCAAATCTGTAGGATTTTCTTCTGTGGAACATGATATTTTGAAAAAGCGTTTTTGTCCATTCAGTGAAATTTCAGCATTTTTCAAAATATCTTCTTTTGTGTTTCTCACAATAAAGTCAGTCATACAGGTTTGGAACATCACGAGGGGGATTAAATGATGACACGATTTACATTTTCAGTAATCAGTGAGACATCACAATGGAAATAGGCAGGTAAAAGTGTGTACCTTATAGCCAACATGCTGCGTGACCGCGCTCTCAGCCTGGATCTCCTGTAGTTTCTGTTTCTTGAGTTTCTTCAGCTCCAGTAGCTCCTTATACTCCGGCAGGTGCCTCAGCTCCACTGGAACCCCATCCTCATCCTGAAACATCACAGCAGGGTCAGAACAGTACAACACTCATCACCTCATCAAGCTGTCACTGCTACAAAGGCCTATTTATGCTTATTATATAGTCTGAATTTTTAGCACAAAATCTAATCTTTAAAAACGACTCCGCAATGAGTCTGGAATATTATACTTCAATGACCCAATTGTTATTTTTGTTGTTTGTTTTTGTTAGGGTAGGTTGAGACTATATTTCCTGACCCTGTTCTCCCATTATTTCTCGTCACAACATAAAAATGTTAGCGTAAAAATAAATAAAAAATAAAACTTTGACAATTAATTAAAGTATTATCAGACACATTTTTCCCAAATAGCTATAATATTTTTTGCCATGACAGATCATTTGAAAATAGTTATGTTACTGTCAGGTAGTAACAACAGAGACGTTTGGGGTCCGTAAGATTATTTTTGTTTTTGAAAAATCTTTTTTGCTCACAAAGGACACATTTATTTAATGAAAAATACAGTAAAAAGTAATATTGTGAAATATTATTACAATTTAAAGCAACTGTTTTCTATTTTAATATATTTTTTAAGATTATAAAAGATTATTTTTTCCTGTGATGGGAAGGCTTAATTTTCAGCATCATTACTCCAGTCTTCAGTGTCATGTGATCCTTCTGAAATCATCCTAATATGCTGATTATCTGCTCAAGACATATTTCAGACAATTACCAAAGTAATTTTTGTAGAACTCGTGATACATTTTTTTTTTCAGGATTATTTGAAATTAAAACCTTTTGTCAATTTTGATCAACTGAATGCATCCTTTCTGAAAAAAAAAAAAACATTGTGTCATTTTATTACTGCAGGCAGTATTATGTATGATCACCACAATACAGGGTTTCCCATACATTGCTTTTTTTGTGGCAGCCCACCACAATATCAACACTTACCGCCACAAATATATTTTCCAAAAGGCTTTGACTTCGTTGAATAAACATGTGCACCGTTTCAAAATCAAAACGCGACACAGTGTTTTTATATGAATGTATCTTTTTTTAAGGGAACTGATTGTCTTCATTTAATTTAATCTTTCCTATAATGCCTGATAAAGTAGCGTTCATGAGCGCAGCACTGCTTTGATTACAGCCGTTACCGGAGAAACCGCTATTTCTATCTCTCCAAAAGCACCTCCTGCTGGCAGAGAATGAATTTGCACTTTCAATCAGCCCGTCTGCTGTTATATTGTAAGTCTGTGGGAAACACTGCAATATAATACAAATCAACATTGCAATGTGATAATGACAATTAAAATGGGTTTAGATTATTGACAGGAAAAGCTCAATTTCTAATATTTCCATGCAGGCTTTACGTGTCATGATTTGTAGTAACTCTATATTTGGTGCATGTAATGTTCACTGATGCTTGGCAACGCGCGACTGGTTATGTTCTCTGCAGGGTCTGCTGACCAGTGTCGCGTAAAGGTTACATATCAGAGGCAGAGAAAATGTCAAGCCACTGCAGTCAGTTCACAGTCACTTAACACACAGCTCTCTTTACACAGTTCAGCTGAGGAGACGCAAACATCGAGTCGTCTCTAATGATTTTGGCAGCGACGCCGCCAACTGGAAAATTCCAACTGGAGCTGTCAAAAGGCAGCTCATCATTATCAAATGATCAAACATCAAGCAAATCCCAACTGTGGAAATGCCAGTTTGCGGTCTTTAATGGATTTCCTGTTGGAGAAAGGCCATCAAATGTTTGCTAGAGGGGAAGATATGAAGTCGCTATGATAAAACAAAAGAATTTTGAGAATTCTAAATGAGAATTTTTCATCAATCGCTTTCAGGTATTTATTTTTCCGTTTTCAGCTTCTAAATCAATTTGCTTGAATATGATCTGATAAAATGCTGTGGCTCTCACTGGTTCAATCATACATGCATTTCTCTGATGATTAGTGACCCGATCAATAAAAGCCCACCCTGAAGATTTAGTTGGACTTGAACTATGAGATCTTAACCAGGACTGACCGAATCATCTGCTTCATTATCCTGGAGGCTGTTGAAGAAGTGTGAACGTTCGTCCTCGTCATCCATGTAGACGGGCGGCTCGTATGAGGTGAGGAACGTCGAGGGCCTGTACAGGTGTTTATTGAGGTGGTGCTGTCGCTTACTGGAGGGCTGCAATTACAAACAACATGTCCTGTCAATAAATATGCACTGATAAAGCATTTTAAATAACTAATGGTGATGCCTTAATATATTCAATTAATACATATACACTACAGTTCAAAAGTTTGGGGTCAGTGGGATTTAAATAATAATAATAACAATATGTTTATTCAGCACAAATTCATTAAATTGATTAAAAGTGACAGTAAAGACATTTCCATTGTAAGAAAAAAATATTTCAAATAAATGCTATTCTTTCTACAGAGCCTGAAATAAAATGGATCATGGTTTCAACCGTTATCAATTGTGACTAAAACAAAAAAATTTTACTTGAGCAGCAAATCAGCATATTAGAATGATTTCTGTAGGATCATGTTACACTGAAGACTGAAGTAATGATGCTGAAAAAACAGCTTTGCATCACAGGAATAAATTTCATTTGAAAATATATTAAAACAGAAAAAAAGATGTTTTAAACGTAACAATATTTCACAATATTACTTTTTTTTTTAAATACAGACTTCAATAACATTTAAACATCATACCAACCCCAGACTTTTCAACAGTAGTGTATGATTATAATATTTTTTAAATATGACATATTATACATTTAAAAAGACCAATATACCTTTTTACTGTACATGCACACATTGGGTGTTCTGCCTGGTACTGGAATACCAGCTTTTGTCAGTTTAATGAAATATTTCTGTACCCTGCTAGCAACCTGTGAAGTAGAGGAACAAAAACTTACTATACAAAAAGAGCTGGCCCTAAATTCAGTGGTTAAGCTTTCCTACCACAGCTTTTAGATGTTAAGACTCTTGTCCTATTAGTGAAGAAACCTCTTTAAATAATAGAGAGCCTCCATTAAAAGAGGCTGTAAGGATGTTAATTGTCAGACTGTTTTAGTGAGCAGCGAAAAGGTGACTAGAGATCTCAACGCCCATCAAGACCGAAAGAAGATCAGCTTCAGAGAGTGTGACTGTGTAGAGCGGGGCCTGAAGACGCACCTGTTTGGCAGTCCTGTTGCCAAGTTCATCTGCGACCTTCTGCCAGCGTTTAGACTCAACCTCCTCGGGTGGAAACTTCAAGAGCAGCTGCTCCAACTTTTTCTAAAAGTTTCACATACAAGATGTGATGAGCAGACTGACAAACCTTACAGCTCAAGAGCTACACAAAATAGTAAAATGTACATACATTCTATTTATATCATAAATTAGCTTATATAAACAATTAGCTTCAGTCCACTAATTTTAATGGAGAAGTAGCTTTATTAGAGTGGTACAAGTGTTCTGCATTAAACTTTTCTCAGATGTTTGTTCATAAAAGGCTCCAAGTTCATGGCCACTAAGAGCTCTTGTGTAGCTTCATACCTGCTCCTCAATGGTCCACAGCTGGTTGAAGGTGTCAGGTTTGTTCTGGTCGCACAGCCTCCCTCTGATCATCTGCGCAAACATCATTCAGAAAACGTTAGCATCTGCACACAGTTCAAAACCATACATGGACATTAACTTTTGTTTCCCAAGACTTTAGTTTAAATGTGAAAAAGGAAAATTTAGAAGCTTTTAAAAAAAGCTGGGTAATAGCTGGGTTCCAGAAGCAAAAACACCGTTCATTTTCACCATAGGGAAATTTCTAACGATAACTTACATAATTTAGACAAACCCTCCGAGGCTGTTAATCGATGGTATGCACTTTTGCTGAAGCCATTTATTTGTTGACATTTTTCAAAAATATATAATTATCTCACTTAAATGTTTGTTCATACAGTGAATTTTTGTTTTTATAATGGGGCAATTGTAGCACAATAGCTTACACACAGCACAAGCCTGATTCGTGAGCTGTATGTGAGGCGGCCTCACGCCAGGTGTGTGCGATATATATCGTCTGCGATAATATCGGAATTGTTGTTTTAACGATGTGCAATTTGACATTATCGAGTATTTTGCAAAAACCAAACAAAACACCTATGGAGTGCACGCATACATTATGTGATGAAGTCATGTCAGTGCACGTGCACATTTAGAGAGTGTTCTTTCACTGCATGATTCAGTCTATTAAAATGCATTAAGAAAGATCACAAAATTCATGATATGGGGGCAGAAAATTTACATATTTATATAATTTCATACAGTTAAAATCACTAAGATTTTTTCTTCAAAAATAAGCATGATTACAAATGTGATACTGATTTTATACAACAGTTCAATAAACTAAGTTAATATTAAGATACTTGACACCATATTGTCTGTTTTTTGCTCTATTTCGCCAACCGAAAATAATTCCAAACAGCCACCACAGAACAGTTCTGCGTCTCTGCTGCAATGACAGTGTTTCGTTCCTGAATGAATCAACCGTTTAAATGATTTGGTTCAATTGCAATGACTCACTTGTTAACAGTGACTTGCTGCCACCTACTGGCGATTTTAACTTCACGTATAAAGTATCTTTTCATTTTTTAAATAATTTCAAACATCATTATTTGGGGTGCAATAATGAACTCTTGACTTTTTACCATTAATAATGAGATAGTGGATCTGCCCAGATATCCTGATCTACTGAGAGACCAATGTAAATGCTTTATTCCTTTATCCATCAATTTAACATATATACACACTCTATATCAAAAGGAGGGCAAGGTTTCTCCCACTGGTTTCCATAGATACCATCTTTTCACTACATGTGCTGCATGCATGAACATACTGAACAAGAAAGATGGGATGAACTGACTGGTGTGAAACTGCAGGTAGAAAGCTAGATTGTCTGAACACAGCACCTCTATAAAACAGGCTGAGACACACTGTGTTTTTATAGTTATTTGTGATCAGCAAAATTCAGCATGCTTGCAGTGCATTTTTCTGTTGAAATGTTACAGCAGAATGAATATGGACGGAGATATTGTGCTCTCAGGAAGATGTTGTGTATGCAGAGCACATCCGAGTTCATGTCCTAGGGCTCAAGCATATATACAGTATAACAAGAAACAATGTCAAGTTAAGTGCTAGGTCTTGATCTTATTATGTATCGGATGCAGTGGTGTGTGATGAAACATGGTGAAATTGTAGGTCATAGGGAAAAAATTTGCAAAGCATAAAGGAGAATCTGTAACCCCATGTTTTCCTCAAAACACAACATACAGGTCAATTTTTATGATATATTGTAATTGTTGGATATAAAAATCACGGTAACACTATTTTACAGTCCCTTTGTTACACATTACATGTACTTACTACAGTAATAACAGACAATTTAGCATAATTACATGCAATAACCCTAAACCAAACCCTAATCTTGACTCTAACCCTACAGTAAGTACATGTTGTTAATTAATATTATTCAGTACTTAATTGTATAATTACACTGTAACAAGTGCACTGTAAAATAAAGAGTAACCAAAATTACTATTTAGGTTCATGTTATGTAACAATAACAGTTCTCACAAGAGAGAGAGAGAGAGAGAGAGAGAAACAGGATTTTATGCCACAAATAATTGTATGGGATTCAGAAGCTCACATTTGAAAAAGCTTTTCTAGATTCATCTTGTTTGAAACGAAGATATGACGTTGGCTGTGCGCTACAGAGCTTTGACCTTTTCCCTGCACACCCTCAGGAAAATAGGATCCACAAATAGGGACACGAAAAAAAAAGGCAAAGAGAGTGGGGAAAAAGGCGAATTAGACAAAGATGCTCTTCTAAGCGGGAGATTCGGCCTACTGCTTAGAAGTAATCTTATTCAGAAGCTCAACAGACCTTGTATAATCAATCTAGCCTAACATGGCATGAATGAAAACCAATTGATGACAGCAAGCATCCAATCTCAACAATAATTAATTTAGAGGACTTGCTCCATTTGATTTGTCTTACTTGAGGGCAACTGACTAGTTTTTCTTCCATTTCCTTGCCATTTAATAACTTGGACAGCAGAGGAGCTGTTAACAGCCTCTCGCTTTAGACGCACAATGAAGATAGGCATGTAGCACTGCAGGCTGGGGAAAGCAGCCAATGATGGCAATGAGCCCAAAACTGACATATGGCTGGCAATGCACTGCCACCTATGGGTCAACCATCTGAAAAGCAGACTAGAGCACAGACTAGATAACAGACAAAAACAAATATATAAAAATATGGGCTTTGGGCCATTTTAACCTTAACTGCGCCATTTAACCTGTACTAAATACCACACACTGGGATGCAATACTACAACTGCTCATAATAAACCTCCATACATCTTTTCAGGTTAGTAGCCAATGTGAGCACATTTACTGTGTGATGCCTTCCTTGTTAGTCAAGTGTATGGAAGGCAGACGGGGTCAAAAGTCTTTAAATAGAACGTGTGAAATTTAATCACAAATTTGAATGTCTCTCTCAATGCGCACACATTCTGGCCGTGTTCGAATGCGTAATACTAATTAAAAAGCATTTTCAGTTTCGGTTTTCGGCCAAATGCATCCAGAATTTTCGGTTTCCGTTTCGGCCCAGAATTTTCATTTAGGTGCATACTTAATATTAACTCTTTCTTTTGTTCACTGTGGAACTGCTTTACTGATATATACTGCACAGTAAATTAATTAATGTTACCATGTAAATTAAGACTTTTCTAAAGAACATTGAACTAAAATAAAAAGGACACGACAAATCATGACATAAAGCTGACAGAAAAAAAAAACATACCAATTCATTATCCCTCATGAACAAATATAACGGGTGATGTTTGCATACGTGCATACCAGTGTACCACCACGGCATACTTCATGAATAAACATGACGTCTGATGTTTCTATGCAAATATAGTCTCAAATACAGCAATTTCATTGACTGCTGTGCATGCTGTAGCATTACCGCGGACAAAGTGCGTGTTGATGCGATCAAACTTCATGCGTTCCATTTAAAGACGTTTGGTCCTGTCTGCCTTCCATATTAGTGTCGCTTTTTTTAAGGCAATCATCACTATATGTCATACTTAATATGTCATATCAACAAACCATTAACCCCAAACCTCCACATCAATGGAGACCTTAAATCTGAGACTTGTTGTAGAATGCTAATCTAAATGATCTGAGGATCATTCGGAAGATTAAGATCACTACATAACGACCATCAAGAATGTGCTAGCGAAGTCTTATGAACCAACCAGCAAAGCTTTCAAAAAGACTCTCAACACTAGCAACACCCTAGTGACTATAATCCCCTGGCACTGTGGTGACCGGTTTTGCACAGAAAAGCACCCCTTTGTCTGCTTCTTCGAAGAAAGTAATCTGCATTAATATATCTATAATTTAAATTTGTCAAGCACACAATAAATCCAAATTAAAATGCAGGAGAAATACTGTCCCAGATTAGAAATCATAACGATTTATTATAACAACAAAAGATAAATAATTCAGACAGGCCTCATAAACTGACGTGACTGCAATCTCTTTTCATTTCTATTGACCAACAAGCCAATCCAGTTGGCTGCTCCTGATTCCTGCACTCACACTGTGAGATGGGCACACGCCTGAATGAGCACGACCCAGGACAACCTGTCCACCAGCAGCAGGCCTTCCCTCGCTTATTACCTACCACCGTCCTGGAGACTACAGCAGCTGTTGCTCATTTTCTGCAAGCGCAGTTGACTATTACACTGCAGAAAACAAGCATGCAGAGTTAAGCAGGAAAACACTAAGCTGTTTATCTAGGCCAACGTCTTCAAATTACAAAGCACAAACACTATGAAAGCTAAAAAGACAAAAGACTATAAACAAGAGCAGGGCAGGCAAATCAAAACCTGAAATGCTGGGTTTTGACAACCAAATAAGTTAAAGCAATGCAGTTTCCTACTACTTTTAAAGTAAACCTCAATAATATAATAACAAGAAAATTGATTTATGAAGCTAGATAACTCCCTCTATATGGAAACTGAAATAGTAAGACCTGAAAAGTACTAGTGGTACTTGCCCCTGCCAAGAATAAATTATGCAGTTGCTACTAGCACAGGGCTATTCAATTATCTTCATTTGAGGGCCAGATTATCGAATTGAAAAATTTGAAGGGGGTGGGGGCTGTCCCGATCTCTTTCTGGGGGGCCTATAAAATTAGAAATTAAATTTAAATGCATATTCAGCCGTAAATGAACTACCAAATGAATATTACCAACACCAACATCTATAAAAGATAAACATTAGAGCCGTCTGTCAACTAGGGCTGGGCGATTTCTCCGATTTTATCGATTAATTCGAATTGAATGTTTTGCCACAATTTTTATTTTCAATTCCTTTTAATAGAGGAATCACTATTTTGAACAAACAAACAAACATTACAATTAGACACTATGACAATGTTAACAGTAAAGAGAAAAGAATGATCCAACCGCATGTTGGCGCACGTGATTAGCCGCTCACGTCACGCGCTCTGTGAAGGACCACAAGTAGAATATATCATTAGGTGCCATTCACACAGAATGCGCTTTTGTGTTGACAAGGATGCGACACGGGCAGTGGAATCGGAAAAAATGCAGAAAGATGGCGGTTGAACTTCTTTTAACTTGAGCACCGTCATTTCATGCATGAGACGCTGCAAGAGATGCGAGCCCAACAGTCAAACGCGTCCATGTTCACATAGAAAACAATGGAAAAGCAGTGCAATCAAATGAAAACCTGTAAAGAACTACTACTGTATTTATGATATTTCATGTTTGCATCATGGTGACATCAGGCTGAAATCTGCTGTTCATTGTTTTTACAGAACATTTATAGTTAATAATAGTCTACTGGTTTTATACCTTCAGTCATTTTGAATTTGAATTACCTTGACTTTTTTTTTTTAAAGCATTTTCCTTGTATTATTTCTGAACATACAATATGTATAAGACAAGTTTGTACAAGATGTAACTGTGGTTCATGCATCTTTTTTACAAAGTTATTTAGGCCTAACAAGTGATTTGTTTAACATTTACATTGTTAACTTCATGTGTGGTGCACTTGGAATATCATTTTTTTTTTTTTTAAGTAGAGGGTTAATAAAGAAAAAGTTACTTGAATCATGTTGTAGTTACATTTTCAAGTTGACTTGTTACAAATTGAGAATCGGTCAAACGTTCTGAAAAAAATTGAGATTTAATTTTTTTGCCATATTGCCCAGCTCTACTGTCAACCAATTAAAAAATTTACTAATCACACATTTTTCGCATATTAATATATTTATATTGTCATAATTGTCATAATATATCAATATTGTCATAATTTAACACTGAAACTCTAAATTAATGTACAAAGAACATAAAGATGGTATATTTTAAATGTATTTAATGGCATCTTTTTTACTAAGTAGCCTATTATTAATGAAAGCCAGTATCATTGATACCAATACTGCTACTGATGTCTCCATTAAATGCATTTTCTCCCCAAATGTAGCTATTATAGCCATTCAACATTACAGTACAATTGAAAGCCATTATTCTTCATGTTCTGAAAAAAATTGAGATTTAATTTTTTTGCCATATTGCCCAGCCCTACTGTCAACCAATTAAAAAATTTACTAATCACACATTTTTCGCATATTAATATATTTATATTGTCATAATTGTCATAATATATCAATCTTGTCATAATTTAACACTGAAACTCTAAATTAATGTACAAAGAACATAAAGATGGTATATTTTAAATGTATTTAATGGCATCTTTTTTACTAAGTAGCCTATTATTAATGAAAGCCAGTATCATTGATACCAATACTGATACCAATAGGTTAAAGGGGTCATATGATGCGATTTCAAGTTTTGCTTTCTCTTCGGAGTGTTACAAGCTGCTCGTGAATAGATAAGATCCCTGAAGTTGCAAAGACTAAAGTCTCAAACCCAGAGATATTCTTTATAAAAGTTAAGACTGGTCCACGCCCTCCTAAAACGCCTCGTTCAACCACGCCCCCCCCATGTCTACGTCACGATGTGGGAAGATCTGCATAACGCCACCAAAATGTTCACGCAAAGAAAGAAGGCGTAACTTTATTGTTGCTGCCGCCGCCATGTTGTGAAGACGCTGTGTGTTTCGTTGCGAAAGCGAAAATACTTTGTCCTTACAAAAGAGGACGCGACTAGAAATCAGTGGTTAAGTTGTATTTACAACACTGTTCCAGAACAGTTCAACCCAAATATTCAGATGTGTGCAGCGCATTTTATGGAGGACTGTTTCCTGATCCTGGGAGAGTAGACTACAATACCGGCTGTTCTGACTCACAGATTGTAAGTACATTTTCATATTTAAAGGATTTGCCACTGACGATTCAAACACGAGATTTGAGCAGTGTAGAGTAGCGCTTGTTGTATGTCGTTTCTCCGATCACAAATGCACACATGGTTTTATGTTTACGCGGCGCGATGCAACGCAACCCATAAAAAGACAGTATAAGTCATTATAATCCGTAATTATGTCCCCACTGGATGCAACAAATGCCTTGTTTATAATGGGTTTACATTTTTTTGGTCAAAATAATGTTCTTTTTAGCAACATCATATGACCCCTTTAATAGGCTCTGAAATATATATAACTTTTAATTTAAGTGAACTTAAGACGATCTTCACAAACTATAAATTGTATATGCATATTAAACTATATTGATTAATTTTTATTCAAGCCACAAAAGTTACTCAGCGAGCAGAGCAGTGAGTGATTTCTCTTTTACTTTTGTTCTTTGATTTACATCAATGACAGACTGCAGCAGGTTTCACTTTAAAAGCCGCACTGTCACTTTAAATCCTGATGCACATGACACAGATCTGACACACATCTGGTTTTCTCCCAACTCTTTACGGTCATTTAGGACTTTACTACTCATTTAAGACTGTATTTACGAAGTCATTCGCCAAAACTGCGCATTTTGACATACTCGTGTGTAGAGGTCGACCAATTCATCGGTTTTGCCAATTAATCGGCACCGATAGTTGATTGGCGGAACTATCGGTTATCGGCAAAAATTAATGCTGATAGTTTTCCGGGTTGTGTCCGTTGCTGGAGTGGCTGAGAAGGGTCCACTGCCATTATACAGTACAAGAACGGCCTCTAGAGGCGGAAATCCCTAACAGCACGTGTTGTTTGCTTGACACGTGACACTGCGGGAAACTTCAAACGTGCATTTAAATGCAGCCGACAGAAAATCCTGCCGCGAAACAGAGCGCCATTCACATAGTTTTCTATTAAATTACATTATATTTGTCCCAAATCATTAAGGTACGTAATGACTTCACCCTAGGCTATAAATTATGCATTGTGCTCTTTCTGTGGCTCTAATACAGTCTTTATGCTTCATATAGAGAGCTGTAATACAGATCGCACTTTCTCTTTCCCTTTGTTCTGTTTTTTTTAAACACCGAACTTCAAACTCATTTATGCCACATTGTTCATTCTTGAAGCAAACTTATGTCCGTTTGGTGATTAAATAAACAGTTTTAGACCGCTGCTTGAATTGAAAGTGACGCGTCTGGTGTGTGACTTCTCCAAGAACGCATCGCTGCGCTTTTGTCCAGTGTGTGACTTGCATATTTTTTTTTTATTTTGATTAGATAATCATGCAGTGTTGTAAAATTGAAGCAAATAAAGTGTGAGAGTACACATACAATATCAATAACATATGTATGTAATTTTAATGCTATGGCCTTGTGTAGATATTTAAAGATGGCAATCTTTAAGCATGACTGTTGAAATTAAATGGTAATACTTTACAGTAAGAGTCATTTTGTAATATTAATGAAACCTGTAAAAGTATTGTTCCTAGTGTGTTCATTTCAACATTTAGTATTACTAATAGGCTATATTTTTACATTTTAAAGTATCTTTTTTAACATTAATAAACTATGAAATAACTTTAATGATCAATATAATAATTAATATGTTTATGTTTATTCATTTAAGTATGGTTCAGTACTGCTACTGCTTTTTTTAAAATAGTAAAGCGCTGTTTTAGTTTTCGTTTACCATTTTAAAAACTATCAGTTGATTAATCGGTATCGGCCAGTGTGGTCCAACCTAGCTATCGGTATCGGTAAAATCCACTATCTGTCGACCTCTACTCATGTGTGTTTTTGCCCATTGAAGCACTACTGGCGCACTTGTCTGAAGCAGCTTAGTTTATGAGCAGACTTTCAAACTATACGCCATTTGACAATCATCTTCGTCCAGTGTCTGTGCTATTTCATGCCATAATTATTACAGATAACACTGTCTTCAAACTAGAATTGTGGATATCTCAGAACACCCTCACACAAACGCTCGTCAACGCTGCCTTCTATTGATGTTGCTGTCTCCAGTAGATTGTTGTTGTTCCGTCTCTTGCTTTTCTTTTTCGGCTGGCACGGGCCAGTGTTGCCACTTTGTGGACAAACTAAATAGTGCAAAAACAATTCAAGGCGCATATGTGACCCGTCCGGCCCGTGGGCCACCAATTGAATATTCCTGTACTATGACTTTCTAGGAAATGTGTTATTGGCAAAACTAAAAAAAAAAAAAAAAAAAAAATTCCCACCAGCTAAAGATGTGATATTCTGTTTTTTAGATATGGCTCGGGGCTACTCAGGGGTGCCCAATCCTGTTACTGGAGATCCACCATCCTGCAAGGTTCAGCTCCAACCCTGATTAAAAACAACTGAACCAGCTAAGTAATCTCTTAGCAGCACTTGATAATTAGAGAGAGGTGTGTTGGAGCAGGGCTGGGACTGAAGTCTGCAGGTAAGTAGATCTCCAGGAACAGGATTGGGCACCTCCTGATATAGTTCAATGCTTTTAAAGGTTTAATACTTTGGGTTTGGGGTTTGTTCAAACTAACCCTCAATATGAGGAACAGTAACAGTGATGCTTGCCATAGCAAACACACTGAATTAATAAATACAAAAGGGTACATTAATAAACAAAACAGGGGTTAAAGGACAATGCATATCTTGGTTTACCAGAACTGATGACTTCAGACAGGACAGCATAAACCTGAACATACTCTTTGTTGTGTTTGAGAGCCAAGTGATCAGACTCAAAATAGTAGACATCCTCCTCTTCCTCCTCATCTTCCTCAGCCTGAGCGGCCAGCAGCTCTTTGGTGGATCGCGACACTCTACTATCTGACACTCCAACCTCTCCACTGACCCCTGCTTTCTCTGAGAGTTCATTGTCTGCCTCGCTAGAAAGTCCCGGTGCATCACGGGGAAGGTCTTTATGGCTGGTGTCCTCAGAGGAAAGAGAAACCGGCGTGGACTCCTCCTTCAGCGAACCATTGTCTATGTGCGGGGAACTGGGTTTGGGGGAGCTGGCTTTGAGCCCACTACCAAAGGCAGCGCGGCGCGGTGAAGTCCTCAGGGTGTATCGGTGTTCTTGAGGCTCTGTGAAGGAGGGGGGCTCTGCAGGCAGCTGGGAGGCAGTCAGCACCACCGTTTCTCCTGAGATATTAGAGTAGTTGTCAGAAGGGTCCTGCGGCTCAGCCTGAAAGCCGCCGTTGGTGCTCTCCTCTCTTGCGAGCTCATCCTGAGCCTGGCCGGCATCCCCTACGACATCTACCTCTACCTCCATCTCGGGTTCCCGGGATAACACGACCTCGGCAGCTTCCTCGGGGGTGCAATTCCTCTCACAGTCAATCTGAGGGCTGTCGGACTCATTGGCTTGCTTGGGATGAGGGGATCTACAAGGCACAATAGGGTCGGGGGATGAGGGTGCAGCCTGGCTGCCGTTTAACAGTGAAGGACTGTTGCTAAGCATGGCAGGGGAGGCACAGGGCTCTGGGGGTAAGGCTGCAACTTCTGAGTCCTCCTTATGGAGGTCAGTGAGGCCATTGGTGGCCTTGACGTTCTCGCCGGCCTGCGGCGGAGGGACGATCTCCTCCACTGGGCAGTCCTCTTTCTGCTCTGCCTCTTTGTCGAGGCTGAGCGGAGGGTCCGAGGACAAGTTCGATTTTGCGCCCTCGTCATTTTCCTTCGGTGCAGCGGAATCAGGGTTCTCCGGTTTGAGAGAAGGTTCCTCCTCTACCCCCTGCGATTCACCTGAGCGAGGGCAGCGTTTGGCCTTCTTCAGGGCGGGGGAGGCTTCCGGCCCACCCCCGGCCTTAGGACGCTCACAGCTGTCCGATTTGTCTGACTCGTCCTTCTCGGAGCTTGGCAAGCCTCGCTTTCCATAAGATGGCAAGGGCTCACCCTCCGGCTTGCTCTCGGCTACCTTTCCGACCTGTGCTCCGGTCTGCTGGTGCTGCTGACAGTCCTGCTTCTTCTTGGGCGAGCGGGCTCTGGGCACAGGAAGCAGAGTGCTCTCTTCTGGCTGGGCGATGCTGCGGTTCCTGAGGGTTCGACCACAAAAGTTCTCATCCAATCCATTTATCCCCACTGATGATCTTGTGATGCGCGAAGAGCGGGACGCTGCCATACTATGGTGGGTGCCTACCGTCTTCTCATCATGGTGCTCTCTCCTCAGCAGCAGAATGTGGGCACCTGAGGGACATGACGAGGGAAAAATTACATATCATTGAGATTCAAAGTTAAATGGTTTTGAGACTATTCCTACAGTTTACAATTGTAAAAAATGCCAACAATAAGACTTTTTCAGCAAAAATTGCTAGAAAAATAGCTAGAAATCAGACCACTATAAATTCACAAACACATTTATGCTGGACACAGTAACATACAGTGATGTGTTTATTATTTTTAACTCATTCTATCCAGTGCTTCTGGAACAATAACAAATCATTCTTGCTATTTCTGTAAAACCTTGCATTTGTTAGCCAGCTAGACAACTTCATCTGTGTGTCATATCTAAAAAACACAATAAGATGATTTATCAAAAAGATAAACACATGATGGATCAAAAAGCAAAATATGGAAAAATGAAGTAAAAGAAACATTTTAGCTGAAGTTTAAAGAAGTGACAATCTGTTTGCTGGATGTTCCTTCACAGTGGATCAATGAGAAAAGAATAACTTGCGTGTCAAGAATGAGAGTGCATTCATGGAATATCTGGAATATTTCTAAGGAAAAGAAAGGCAGGAGAGAGGGGTCTTTATTTATGGCTTTTTATGCTAGTGAAAAACATCAACTTATTTCTGAAGAAAATGTGAGTGATGTCTGCCTGTGCAAAAGTTGCAACCACAATGCCAAGACGCTGCTATGCAATAATTTACTTGTTCAAGGCAGTAGAGCCAGCCAAGGTCTCGGATCTCTCCTTCAAAGCAAATCTGTAGGATTTTTTTGCTCGCTTAAAAAAACGAATAGTACAACCCACCTTAAAAAGCTGCACAATTGAAGATAACATTAATGTCCATAGCACAAACATGATCTCCAGTTTATTACTTAGGGGTATGTGCATTAGTAATAGTGATGATGCATGAGCAAACATCACTAACAAGATTCCCACAATAGATCTTTAATGTGCACAATTTCAGAGGAAAATCTTTATCGCAAGTTCTTCTCTCTTGCTCTCACGGTCTTTGGGTTTGGTAAAACAGAGTCAAACATACACCACTGGAGAAATAACAACCTACGGGCAGGCTATGATCTGCTGTTATCTAATATTCTATTAATACGTTTGATATTCAGAGGTTATCTGAGAGTTTCCCACAAGCTATCAATCTACTTATCACACATGTTCTTGCTAGGCTTTCCCTGGTGCATTTCTAAAAGTTGCTAAAGCTGCAGATGTTAAGGGGGATGGTCTGTATTTAAGCTGTTTCTTATCTGAGCTATAAAAGAGCTTTTCAACAATAGCCACTACACCCCAGACCTTCAGTCTTGAAAGACTGATCATGGGTGTCTCTAATGAAGCAGTCAGTGCTCCGCAGAATCCTGTGAGCAGGGTCCAAAACTAACATTTATAAAGAACCAAAAAATTTAAGTTTGCTGGTACCTCTTAGGTACTGCAAATTTACATGATGTAAACTGAATTATAACAATCTAAACGTCACTGATGAAAAGCCAAAGTATATTGGGTGCCTTCAAGTCAAAGTATACATCCATGTTCCGTTCTGGCTTGCAGACAGTGATTTTCATTATCAAAACAGTCCGCTGATTTCAGCACATCCATGTCTATGCAGACTTGTGTGAGTTATTTTAAGGCTTAGAAAAAAAAAAGGTTGAAGCGCCAAACACAGCCATCCACACAATGGTTAATGGAGTACACTTAAAAAGGCTTGACCACTCAAACTGTTCAAGGTGGAGCAGAATGCAAAAAATGAGGTATACCCGGGTCCTCAGTGTCACATCAGATTCAAATCAAATGGTCAACTAAGAAAAACAGAAATGTTTTTCTCAGAGGAAAATTTCCAAATTTCTTCCGCAAACTCAAAGTGAAACATACACAAAATATTCCTAGAAATATTCCAAACCACCAAACCTCATATTTAAGAAATTTTCTTAAAGTTAATTTTATATGCTGCTGTCTGTGACAAAATGACCTGCAATGTTTGTCACAATATCTTTTTATTAGTTAAAAAATATAGGCTACCCTTTTATTTATTCTCAATATTAAATATAACAGATTTACTTTAGGCTTTTATTCACATATAAACAATGAACAAAGCACACAGAACACATCAAAGATGGTAAACTGAAGTTCACAGTGCTTGCGTGACACAAAAACAAACCTATTGAGGATCAAGCAAGCACATTTGAGCTTCTGTTTACCATATTTGATGTTCTTTATGTATGTGTGTTGAACAATGTTTATATGTGAATAAAAGCCTAAATTAAAATAGTTTCCTTCATATGAAACAACCATGTCACTTCACAAGACTTAGATTAAACCACTCTATTCATTTGGATTACTGTTACAATTTCTTTATTAACTTTTTGACGCATCACCGTTTTGGCAGAAGGGACTTTCAATTAAGGGACAGAAATTTCTCAGGTTTCATTAAAAATATCTTCATGTGTTTCAAAGACGAACGAAGGTCTTATGGATTTGGAATGACATGAGGGTGAGTGGTAACAGAATTTTCATTTTTGGGTCAGGTATCCCTTTAAATGTTTTAAAAATCCCCTTATTAATAAAAAAAAATCTAAATAATAACATTTAATGGCAACTTTTCTCCAGCTATGGAGTAAATTCACAAGCCATCGGCATATGTGGCAAAAAGCTAATTTTGGACCCCCGAGTATGACAAATAAAGCAGTCAGCCCAAAGACCAGTGCTTACAGAACATGATATATTGATATGGGAATGGTGAAATAGGCAAAATCTGCAAGGCAGCAACAAAAAGGCACCACATTTCAGCTGCCTCACAGGAGACTGAAAGGAGCACTAGGCTGGTATTGTCGTCTGCATTTCTCAATAATTAGTGTGGTACTAAAGTCAAACAGACGCTTGAAGTGAGACAAATTAGATTACACCATATCAAATTTCTCAATTGCCTCCATTCTGCTAAGACTGTGCAAGAGGATACATCTAGGACATATGCAGTGGGGGGGGGGGGGGGGGGGATAATGATTA